GTATTGACAGGTTATCTCTCCTCTCAGTATTGACAGGTTATCTCTCCTCCCAGTATTGACAGGTTATCTCTCCTCTCAGTATTGACAGGTTATCTCTCCTCCCAGTATTGACAGGTTATCTCTCCTCTCAGTATTGGCAGGTTATCTCTCCTCCCAGTATTGACAGGTTATCTCTCCTCTCAGTATTGACAGGTTATCTCTCCTCCCAGTATTGACAGGTTATCTCTCCTCTCAGTATTGACAGGTTATCTCTCCTCCCAGTATTGACAGGTTATCTCTCCTCTCAGTATTGACAGGTTATCTCTCCTCCCAGTATTGACAGGTTATCTCTCCTCTCAATATTGACAGGTTATCTCTCCTCCCAGTATTGACAGGTTATCTCTCCTCTCAGTATTGGCAGGTTATCTCTCCTCCCAGTATTGACAAGTCTCCTTTTTCACCTTTTGTTTGCGTTAGCGTCAACTTCTTTAATATATCATTTTTCTCTCATATGCTAACCATTTTAGTTGTTGCTGCTGTTGATAGTCCTCAAGTGGTGTGGTTTCTGTTATTTGGTACAGGCCTTTGTAATTCTGTAACGTCAATTCACGAGATTAGAACAAGGATGGTCCTCACTAAGACCTACACACTTCATTTTCTCGATGCCTTTTTAATTATTGATCTGAGGAAGCGGTTGTATACAGCTGGCAGTTTAGATATTTCTAGACTAGTTTGGCGTCATGCATGACTTCCATATGAAATTCTCGATCTGACAAGATTTCCAGAACATGGCTCTTGTTTTGAGGTTAATGCTTTGTAGCAGCTTGTGATCGGAGTCTAGTATATCTGTCCGATCTTTGATCCTTTTGAGCCGGGATACGTTTTGTTTTCTGACCAAACTGTTGCGTTAACTGTAGCTTGTATGGTGTCGTGAGCAGTCGTCATTTTAAGACATGCCAAACAGTTGTTGTAGGAAACTGAAGTTCCTTACTAGCTCTTCTGATCGATTTCCGGGGGCTCTGCTCGAAGGCAGTTCGAACTCGCTCAACCGTATCATCTGAGGTTGAGGGGCGTTCCCTTCTCTTAGCTGGGCACAAACTTCAATAATTCATGAATTAACCATGCCATCCCAATATGGACTTCCTTTCTGGTGCCTCTTTTCGAAATTTTGTGCAAAATGCACGTTGAACAAGTGTCCATGATTCAGTTTTTGCAAATTCAAGGACGCAAAACACCTTTTCTGGTTAAGTGAACGCCATTACTGGATCTGAAAAAAATATGAAAAAATTATTAACGCTACAAAAACTTAATGAATTTAGCTTTAAAATAGTACCCGTTTAATCTTACCATCATTCATAGTTCAGCAGATATGAAGACTTGAAATGTACCCAAGACTTCTGAAACACCCTGTATACAAAGGAGCCCATAAAGAATCAATGATGACCCAACCTAGCACAGATTGATTTGACATGGCCGAGGTATTGATTCATATAGACAAGAGTGTCCTACTGTGAGTTCTAAGGCCAAAATTTGAAGTACAAAGTTGGCCACAGTTGGGGTCTGCTTCTTGGGAGCTTGAGGAAGCATTATGTTTCCGTGACGCTTACTTCTCTTACAGATTTTGCACCGTGTCATTATCAAATTGGTTCACACCGTCATGGATTGAACTACACTAGTGTTTTCTATTGGATATTGATGAGTCCCATGTGTCGAGGGCCAACTTATAGGAATTTAGCCTTTCTTTCAGAGTTCGAAATAAAACAAGAGGTCGATTCCATTCCATTCACTTACGTGCTAATAATCTTGGGAAAGGTATGAACCCTTCTCTTCTCCGCACCCAGCTGGTCTACAGCAGAAAGAAATGGCAACCTACTGCAGGAAAAAAAAATCTGCCTCGTCAGTCATGTATCGAAACATAGATGATCACCTAAGTGTGTATCACGCATGGCACGTAACTAAGTGACTGACGTGTTAATACCTTTGGGAAAGGTATGAATCCTCTTCTTCTCCTTCCCCAGCTATGGGTAAATAGTAGGATAGATCGGGTTCTATAGCCTTGGATATCAGCTGATCTACAGCAGAAAGAAATGGCAACCTACTGCGGGAAAAAACTGTCTGGTCAGTCATGTATCGAAAGATAAATGATCTCCTAAGCGGGTATCCCGAATGGCCCATAACTGACTGACTCATCTCAGAAATTAAATTCTAAATTATGAAAAGCACTACGAACCCGCCATCATAAACAATAAGTTCAAAATAAGAGAAGAATAAACGCCACTTTCGACTCCATATATGATCAGCCATGCCTAATTTCAATGTTTTCTTCCGAAAAACAACACCGAAAACATATCTGTAAGCAACCAAGACTTTACAAATATGGTAGTCGATTTTGATGATAATTCGATGCTTATTACGCATAAATTTATTAAGGTCCAAACACACATATACTTGTAAAATCTGCAGTATATAAATCTATTAATATTAACACGTTTACCCCTGTACATATGTGTGTGTTTCAACATGATTATGAATGCGTGTACACGGTTTTCTCCTGTTATGTTTGTGTGTATAAACCTGCGTGTGGACAGTCGTGTACACAGTATCCAATCACCTATATCCAATATTATCCCCACTTCTGAAATCACATTCGCATACGAAAACAGATACCAAGCGACTGAAAGCCAACGCCTACATGAATTTTTATCACTGCCGGTTGTCATGACAACTTTCTTTCGAATGATGAGCGCCAACCGTTCATAATGTTTCTTTTCTCTTTCTTTTTTTTTTTTAGTCCCCGCCAACAAACGACAACGAGGTAAACATTTGCGCCTGCGCGAACATATTCTATTCATCGTTTTAACGGCGGATTAAACGAATTGGAGTTCGAAATTTCAGCAAATAGTTTCCAATGTTGCTTGGTCGGTTATATGTAAATTGGAATCGTCCATCTCCATAGCGGATTTACAAAAAGAAAGGAATATCTTTCGGTTCCGTCAGATTTTTCCTTTCAAAGGAAATAATTCCCATATATATATATATATATATATATATATATATATATATTCAGCACTAGAAGATTGCATTGTGCATGAAACCCGAGTCAAAACTAACGGTGAGGAATATATATATATATATATATATATATATATATATATATATATATATATATATATATGGAGGGTATAATATTACTTAATAGCTGTTATATGACAGCGAACATTATTTTCTTAACACCATCACTCAATGTGCGATATCTTATATATATACACATATATATATATATATGGAGGGTATAATATTACTTAATAGTTGTTATATGACAAAGCGTGCATTATTTTCTTAACAAATCACTAATGTGCGATATCTTATATATATATATATATATATATATATATATATATATATATATATATATATATATAAAGTACAAGTCAATACCCGGTCAGTGTCGCCTGGGTCACCGTGGAGAGGGGGTATGATGTTAAAAGATCCGAAGCCCTAATGAACCTCGGCTAGAAACATCACTGATGTGTACTAAATTCAGTAGATGTATTTTACGGAATATATAAATACCACGATATATATATATATATATATATATATATATATATATATATATATATATATATATATATATATATAATGTCCAGCTGCTTTCGTAAAAGGAGCAAGAAAAATGTCAAGGTGGCTAACCAATCCCTGTTGCAGATACCTTCTCAGACACATTTGTGTTTGTTCAACACCCACAGAGCCATGTGTGAGAGAGAGAGAGAGAGAGATAGTTATCGGTATAATAAAAATATACTTGCACGTACGTATAAACATATTTCTTCCTCAAGTGTTATAAATACAGTGCTCAATGTTATGAAACAGAGCTATGAGTATATATTAGTGAATATACATAATATCCAACGTCGATAGCACGACTCGGAGTTTCATGCAGTTCTTCCAATCTTCATGTGCAGAACATATTCTGAACGTTATTGTATTCGCGTTCTCGTGGTGATGATTCAAAATTATCTGTGAAAACTTGCCTATTTAATTATTGTTGCCCAAAACACTAGAATTAATTATTAATAATTTATATAATTAAAATTCTTAAGCTCGAAAAGAATTAAAAATATGTAAAAATTATTTAAATTTAAATTTGAATGTACACAAGATATCAAGGAAGAAAACCTTCATTGAATCCACCACGAACAGCGGGAAATCGCGTTTTTACCACCACAAAATGACACTGAGCAATGCAAAAACTGCACAACACTTTCAAAGTATGTTTGGTGATTAAAAAAACAACTGTAAGAACCCAACCATTAGCTGGGAGATAATCGCCAAAGCTAAGCCATACAATGAAAAGGGAGACATATGTAACTTGTGTTTGTTAGAGAAGCTTATACTAAAACACTTAAGTAACCCTAACTTGCTAAATACGAGGTCTGAATTGATATCTACATGTATCCATAAGTCCAAGCACCTGGTCAAGTACATTAACCCTGATTAAAAGAGTTTACAAAATAGATTTTACGAATATTAATATAATATGCAAAAAGTACTAATATTCTTATAACTCATCATTAATAACATTTCTTATATATCTATACACACATATAATCCAATATTACTGCACTTGATTGATTGTGTGTGTGTGTGTGTGTGTGTGTGTGTGTGTGTGTGTGTGTGTGTGTGTGTGTGTGTGTGTGTGTAATTTCACATTTATAAGTACATAAGATATGAAGAAATATGCTCATAAGATTGTAGCGATCGGGAAAACATCCAGTTGGGAGTCGGTTCCACAGGGCAGTCGTATCGCGAGAAGATGATATATATATATATATATATATATATATATATATATAGATAATATTAGTGGAAAATATACATACATATGAAAAATATATCTAAAAAATTCCCATACATGTATATTTTCAGAAAAAAATTTTCCAAGAGGAAGGATCCAGGTAGAACTCAATGTCTAATACATAAAGATACATTTCGTGGTGACATATACACACCACAGACAATTATAGATAGATAGATAGATAGATAGATAGATAGATAGATAGATAGGGGTATGAGAAAAAATATACGTACATGCATATAATTTGCGCGTATGTATAAATTTCTTTCTTTCTGAGGTGTTATAAATACAGTGCTCAATGTGATGTGACAGAGCTATACGTATATATTAGTGAATATGCATAATATCCAACTTCGATAGTACGACTCGGAGTTTCATGCAGTTCTTGCAATCCTCAGGTGGGGAATATGTTCAAACCGTTACAGAGTTTGCGTTCTTTGGATCTAAAGTAATGATGATGTTAAATATCCGTTTGGATTCACCGATAACAGCTGGCAATCCACAAAATGACACTGATCAATATCAATTACAAACACTGCACAACACTTTCAAATTATGTCTGGCGATTAAAAAACAACTATAAGAACACAGCCATTAGCTGGAAGATAATCGTGAAACCAATGCCATACAACGGAAAGAGAGACAGATGTAACTTTTGTTTGTTGGAGGAGCTTATTATGTTAAAACACCTAAATAACCCTTATTTGCTGAACACGGGGTTCGAATTGATTGATACAGGTATCCATTAATCCAAGCACCTGCTTAAAGACATTGACCCCGATTAAAAGAGATTACAAAATAGACTTTACGAATATTAATATAATATGCAATAAGGTTTAATATTCTTAGAACCCATCGTTAATAACATTTCTTATATATCTATACACACATATAATCCAATATTACTGCACTCGATTAATTTATAAGGTGTATATATAATTTCACCTTTATAAATATAAGGCTTGGTTCCAAACACATTAGATACATAGACCCGACCTATTATTTTTATTTGCACCTGTATATTATATTTACGCCATGAGTACTAGTGTAATTTAATTTGCATACGGTATTTTATTCAGTAAAAGAGAGTTATCCCCCTTGATATCTTGTTTACTTTTAAATTTAAATAATTTTTTATAATTTTTTTAATTCTTTGCCTTTCGAACTTAAGAATTTGAATGATATAAATTATTAATAATTAATTATAATATTTTAGGCAACAATAATTAAATAAACAAGTTTTAACACATAATTTTGAATAATTACCATGTAAACGCGAACACCATAACGTTCAGAATATGTTCCGCACATGAAGATTGCAAAAACTGCATGAAACTCTTGTGTTGTACTATCGACGTTGGATATCATACTTATTATAAAACTCAGGTTGTGTGTGTGTGTGTGTGTGTGTGTCTGTTCGTTTATATATTGGATCGGATTTCCTACATTTTTCAACCGATTTCAACAAAACTTTACAGAACTACGTAAAATGACCTTGTGGTGGTTCTGACGGCACCAAAAATTGGAAAACACAATTGTTTTTGCACGAAATCAATTTGAAAACACGATTAAGAGGCATCGCTGTCGAGAATGAAAGGGGGACAACTCATATCGAGTTATACTTATTATAAAACCCAGGTTGTTGTGTGTGTGTGTGTGTATGTGTTCATTTATATATGGGATCGGATTTCCTACATTTTTCAACCGATTTCAACAAAACTTCACTTTTTTTTTGGCAGGTAGTGTTTTTATTGTCTTGCACACTTTTTTTCTTTATTTTACATTCAGAATGCTTTAAAAATTCCATTTACAAGACAATTGTTTATAATAAAATTCTATTCAATCGGTAGACTCATAACGATTGAAAACAATGTTTTTGTTTGAGTTTGGGTTTGACCAATTCGTAAAAAAAAAAAAAAAAAAAAAAAAAAAATTAAGACATGCGTGTCCGTCAACCTTAAACAATAATCTTTTGTCAATTTTATTTTTTCAGTCTTTATGATGGTCGATACTTGATCTATCTCTTATTGTTACATCCCCGGGCAACGCCGGGCTCTACTGCTAGTTATGTATATTCACCAATATATCTGTCGGAGTTAGCTCCTCCTCAGCTCCTTAACCCTTTCACCAGGGGTCTCTCTCCCCTGGCTATAAATATTCGCTGACCCTTCGCCTCTTCCTCTTTTTGCCTCAGGCTTTCAGCCTTACCAAACCTCGCAGATGTGAACGCTCACAGATACAGCGTTTCCCAAATTCTGGGAACACGTTAAGAACAATACACATACGTACGAACACTCACCACAACACACATTCACACACACACACACATACATAATATTCATCACACGCACTCTGTCCATGTAACTGTCCATATAATTGTTACCTGTAACTTGTTATTAATACATATATTTGTTTACATATATTTATCGGTCTTGTTTGTTTTCTTTGCCTTCTTTCTCATGTAGTTGGACTGGCTAGCAGGAAATTTCTACTCACGTGTGTTCTATATACTCATCACCACCCAACAGTCCTCTACATATCTATATGAAGAATCATCGCCTGCCTAAAATAATACTGGCTACTGCGGCAGAGGGTCACCAAAGAAACGATTCAAAGATTCCCTTAAAAAATCCTTTTGGTGACTGTCACATCAGGCATTGCCAATGGTCAAAGCCTAGCTGGGAACCGTGATGCCTGGCGTCTCGCCACCAACCATGCTGTTCTCTTCTTTGAAATTACTTGCAGGGCAGCTCTCAGGGACCAGAGACAGAGGAGGAAGAACTGCAATGCTGTGGCATCGAGCTCAGGTCGGACTTTCAGCTGTAACTACTGCGATCGTGTATGTCTATCCTCCATTTTTTTTTTTATTTTAGTTTTGATCCTTTCAAGTCCACGAATTAATTTCTTATTACCTGTAGACAAAGAAGAAGTAGACAAAAAAAAAAGAAAAAGAGAAAAGAGGAAAGAGGAAAAAGAGTTGAGATTGAAGAAGAAAAAATCTGAGTTAGAGAAGAGAATAAATGGATGCAAAGAAAAAAAAGAAAGAAAGAAAGAAAGAAAGAAAGAAAGAAAGAAAGAAAGAAAGATGAGAGTTAAATAAGGAGGAGAAAGAAGAAGAAGAAAGATAAAAGAGAAGAAATTTAACTAAGATTGATGACGAAATTAAGAAAGGGAAGAGAACGATGAAAACACAAAGAAAGAAAGAAAGAAAGAAAGAAAAAGAAAGAAAAGAAATAAAGATGAGAGTTAAATGAGGAGGAGAAAGAAGAAGAAAGATAAAAGAGAAGAAAGATTATTTAAGTTTAAATTATTTGACGAAATTAAGAAAGGGAAGAGAAACGATGAGAACACAAAGAAAGAAAAAAAAAAAGAAAGAAAGAAAGAAAGAAAGAAAGAAAAAAAAGAAAGATGAGAGTAAAAATGAGGAGGAGAAAGAAGAAGAAAGATAAAAGAGAAGAAATTGCATTACTAAGATTTTGACGAAATTAAGAAAGGGAAGAGAACGATGAGAATACAAAGGAAGAAAGAAAGAAAGAAAGAAAGAAAGAAAGAAAGAAAGAAAGATGAGAGTTAAATAAGGAGGAGAAAGAAGAAGAAGAAAGATAAAAGAGAAGAAAGAAGTACTAAGATTGATGACGAAATTAAGAAAGGGGAAGAGAACGATGAGAAACAAAAGTAAAAAAAGAAAGAAAGAAAGAAAAGAAAGAAAGAAAGAAAGAAAGAAAGAAATTTAAAAGAAAGAAAGATGAGAGTTAAATGAGGAGGAGAAAGAAGAAGAAAGATAAAAGAGAAGAAAGAAGTACTAAGATTGATGACGAAATTAAGAAAGGGGAAGAGAACGATGAGAACACAAAGAAAGAAAGAAAGAAAGAAAGAAAGAAAGAAAGATGAGAGTTAAATGAGGAGGAGAAAGAAGAAAAAAAGATAAAAGAGAAAAAGGTTTACTAAGATTGATGACAAAAATTAAGAAAAGGGGAAGAGAACGATGAGAATACAAAGGAAGAAAGAAAGAAAGAAAAAAAAGAAAAGAAAGAAAAAGATGAGAAAAAAATGAGGAGGAGAAAAGAAGAAGAAAGATAAAAGAGAAGAAAGAAGTACTAAAATTGATGACGAAATTAAGAAAGGGAAGAGAACGATGATAAACAAAAAGAAAGAAAGAAAGAAAGAAAGAAAGAAAGAAAGAAAAGAAAGAAAGATGAGAGTTAAAAATGAGGAGGAGAAAGAAGAAGAAAGAAAAAAGAGAAAAAAACTTTTTACTAAGATTGATGATTTTTTAAGAAATTATCAAAAGAGAACGATATAAAACAAATTTAAAAAGAAAGAAAAAAAGAAAGAAAGAAAGAAAGAAAGAAAGAAAGAAAGATGAGAGTTAAAATGAGGAGGAGAAAGAAGAAGAAAGATAAAAGAGAAGAAAGAAGTATAAAAGATTGATGACGAAAAAAAGAAAGGGAAGAGAACGATGAGAATACAAAGGAAGAAAGAAAGAAAGAAAGAAAGAAAGAAAAATAAAGAAAGAAAGAAAGAAAGATGAGAAAAATGAGGAGGAGAAAGAAGAAGAAAGATAAAAAAAAAGAAAGAAGTACTAAGATTGATGACGAAATTAAGAAAGGGAAGAGAACGATGAGAATACAAAGGAAGAAAGAAAGAAAAAAAAGAAAGAAAAAGAAAAGAAAGAAAGAAAGAAAGAAAGAAAGAAAAAAAGATGAGAGAGAAAAATGAGGAGGAGAAAGAAGAAAAAAGATAAAAAGAGAAAGAAAGAAGTACTAAAATTGATGACGAAATTAAGAAAGGGAAGAGAACGATGAGAACACAAAGAAAGAAAGAAAGAAAGAAAGAAAGAAAGAAAGAGAGAGTTAAATGAGGAGGAGAATGAAAAAGAATCAAAAAAAAGAGAAGAAAGAAGTACTAAGATTGAATGACGAAATTAAGAAAGGGGAAGAGAACGATGAGAACACAAACAAAGAAAGAAAGAAAGAAAAAAAGAAAAGAAAAAGAAAAAAAGAAAGTAAAAGAAAGATGAGAGTTAAATGAGGAGGAGAAAAAGAAGAAAGATAAAAGAGAAAAAGAAGTATTAAGATTGATGACGAAATTAAGAAAGCAAAGAGAACGATGAGAATAAAAAAGGAAGAAAGAAAGAAAGAAAGAAAGAAAGAAAGAAAGAAAGATGAGAGTTAAATGAGGAGGAGAAAGAAGAAGAAAAAATAAAAGAAGAATTTAAACTAAGATTGATGACGAAAATTAAGAAAGGGAAAGAACGATGAGAATAAAAAGAAAGAAAGAAAGAAAGAAAAGAAAGAAAGAAAGAAAGATGAGAGTTAAAATGAGGAGGAAAGAAAGATGAAAGAAAGATAAAAGAGAAGAAAGAAGTACTAAGATTGATGACGAAATTAAGAAAAGGGAAGAGAACGATGAGAATACATGAAAAGAAAGAAAAAAAAAGAAAAAAAGAAAGAAAGAAAGAAGATGAAAGTTAAATGAGGAGGAGAAAAAGAGAAAAAAGATAAAAAGAAAAAAGAAGAACTAAGATTGATGACGAAATTAAGAAAGGGAAAGAACGATGAGAAAACACAAAAAAAGAAAGAAAGAAAGAAAGAAAAAGAGAGTTAAATGAGGAGGAGAAAGAAGAAGAAAGAAAAAAAGAGAAGAAAGAAGAAAAAAGATTGATGACGAAATTAAAGAAAGGGAAGAGAACGATGAGAATAAAAAAGGAAAAAAGAAAAAGAAAGAAAGAAAGAAAGAAAGAAAGAAAGAAAGAAAGAAAAGAAAGAAAGATGAGAGTTAAATGAGGAGGAGAAAAAAGAAGAAAGATAAAAGAGAAGAAAAGAAGAACTAAGATTGATGACGAAATTTAAGAAAAAAAGAGAAAGAAAAGAAACAAAGGAAGAAAGAAAGAAAGAAAAAAGAAAAAAAAAAAAGAAAGAAAGAAAGAAAGAATGAAAGAAAAAAAGAGTTAAATGAGGAGGAGAAAGAAAGAAGAAAAGAAAAAGAGAAGAAAGAAGTAGAGAAAGATTGATGACGAAATTAAGAAAGGGGAAGAGAAACGATGAGAATACAAAGGAAGAAAGAAAGAAAGAAAAGAAACAAAAGAAAGAAAAGATGAGATAAAAATGAGGAGAAAGAAAAAAAAGAAAAAAAAGAAGAAAGAAGTACTAAGATTGATGTGAAATTAAGAAAGAAAAGAGAACGATGAGAACACAATAAAAAGAAAGAAAGAAAGAAAGAAAGAAAGAAAGAAAAGAAAGAAAGAAAGAAAAGAGTTAAAAGGAGGAGGAAAAAGAAGAAGAAAGATAAAAGAGAAAAAACTTTTACTAAGATTGATGACGAAATTAAGAAAAAAGGGAAGAGAACGATGAGAATACAAAGAAAAAAAAAAGAAAAGAAAGAAAAAAGAAAGAAAGATGAGAGTTAAAAAAGGAGGAGAAAGAAGAAAAAAAAAAAAAGAAAAAGAAGTAAGAAAAGAAAGATGACGAAAAAGAGAAATAAAAAGAAAAAAAGAAAACAAAGAAAGAAAGAAAGAAAGAAAGAAAGAAAGAAAGAAAGATGAGAGTTAAAATGAGGAGGAGAAAGAAGAAGAAAGAAAAAGAGAAGAAAGAAGTACTAAGATTGATGACGAAATTAAGAAAGGGGAAGAGAACGATGAGAATACAAAGGAAGAAAGAAAGAAAGAAAGAAAGAAAGAAAGAAAGAAAGAAAGATGAGAGTTAAATGAGGAGGAGAAAGAAGAAGAAAGATAAAAGAGAAGAAAGAAGTACTAAGATTGATGACGAAATTAAGAAAGGGGAAGAGAACGATGAGAACACAAAGAAAGAAAGAAAGAAAGAAAGAAAGAAAGAAAGAAAGAAAGAAAGAAAGAAAGAAAGAAAGATGAGAGTTAAATGAGGAGGAGAAAGAAGAAGAAAGATAAAAAGAAAAAAGAAAGTAAAAGATTGATGACGAAATTAAGAAAGGGGAAGAGAACGATGAGAACACAAAGAAAGAAAGAAAGAAAGATGAGAGTTAAATGAGGAGGAGAAAGAAGAAGAAAGATAAAAGAGAAGAAAGAAGTACTAAGATTGATGACGAAATTAAGAAAGGGGAAGAGAACGATGAGAATACAAAGGAAGAAAGAAAGAAAGAAAGAAAGAAAGAAAGAAAGAAAGATGAGAGTTAAATGAGGAGGAGAAAGAAGAAGAAAGATAAAAGAGAAGAAAGAAGTACTAAGATTGATGACGAAATTAAGAAAGGGGAAGAGAACGATGAGAACACAAAGGAAGAAAGAAAGAAAGAAAGAAAGAAAAAAGAAAAAAGAAAGAAAGAAAGATGAGAGAAAAAATGAGGAGGAGAAAGAAGAAGAAAGATAAAAGAGAAGAAAGAAGTACTAAGATTGATGACGAAATTAAGAAAGGGGAAGAGAACGATGAGAATACAAAGGAAGAAAGAAAGAAAGAAAGAAAGAAAGAAAGAAAGAAAGATGAGAGTTAAATGAGGAGGAGAAAGAAGAAGAAAGATAAAAGAGAAGAAAGAAGTACTAAGATTGATGACGAAATTAAGAAAGGGGAAGAGAACGATGAGAACACAAAGAAAGAAAGAAAGAAAGAAAGAAAGATGAGAGTTAAATAAGGAGGAGAAAGAAGAAGAAGAAAAATAAAAGAGAGAAAGAGGTACTAAGATTGAAGACAAAATTAATAAAGGGGAAGAGAACGATGAGAATACAAAGGAAGAAAGAAAGAAAGAAAGAAAGATTAGAGATAAATAAAGAAGAGAAAAAAGAAGAAAGATAAAAGAGAAGGAAGAGATACTGAGACTGAAGAAGAACAAGAAGGAAAAGAAAGAAAAGATAGTGACGCCAGTGAGTAAAGACAAAAAGAGAAGCAAAAGTTTAGAAAGCAAGAGTTCAAAATATAACCAAAACGGCTGCTATACCCATTGATATTCATGACAGATGGAGAACCATGTCAATGACTTTAAAGTGTTGGACATGTTGTCACTTGGAATTGGCGTTATCCCGACTGGCCTATTGTTGTATAGATTTATTTCTTGTTCTCAAGTCTCACTAATTAGCATAGAATCTTTAGTGACTGGAAGCCTAACTCCAGTTTACATTGTGCACAAAAGACTCGTCTCTCACGCCTGTTAACAACTGACTTCAACCTCTGCTTCAGAACGAGGTTCTCTAATAATAAGTGGTAGGAGGCAGCATCAGAATGCAGTGACGTACCTACATTTTGGGGTCCCTGGAGCTTGAACACATACGGGGGTCCCCTTCGCAACGATAGATTCGAGGATCCAACAGCCAAAATGGCGAGCTCAACGAACCCATGCGGCTGGAAGTTCGGACAGTTCAACGTGGTGCAATGGTTAAAAGCCTGTCTCGCTAGATCACTTTCGACAGAATAGAGTGTTCGATTCTCACTGGGTGTCCCTTAATACGCTTAGAAAATCACGATACAGACGGCGGTTCGTTCACTGCAAGCCCTCCAAGAAAATTTAGAAATTTGGCCAATTACAGGGGAATTTTGAGTTTTAGAACATATTCTGATGCCAACGTCGTCTACTTCAACCGATTGGCCTGTGATTCTATCATTAAAATGGCCTTATTTTAATAAGAAACAATTTAAAAAAAAACATCTATTTTTTTTTTTAAATCACTCATTAAAAAATTTGGGATTAGCGACATTCGTTAATTCCATAGTAGATACGTCACTGTTCAACAGAACACAACAAAGTCTTGTGAGATAATTTTTTAAAGCAATTCATCCCAAGCAAGGCGTGAGTGCCACTAGCACGCAAGGGGGTTACAGAGCATTGAGAACAAGAGTAAAGAGGCTTGTTTGGCGAAAGAAAACAGAGAAGAACGCGGAACAAGCTCAGGGAATCAGATGTCGATTGAGATTACACTTCAACATTTGAAGGTTATAGTCATCGGGGATACAAGTAAGGGGAACGGAGGTCCACAGACGGGAAGTGCGAGAGAAGAAGCTGTTTGAGTAGAAGAGATGGATATATTTAATTGTTTCGACAGTGAAAGGGTGGGACCAAGATGGCAGCCTGGTAGCTCGCTTAAATTCATGCAGTTTGGGAATATAAGAAAAAAAATAAATATATACATTCACATTCCGGATTGTGAAAAGTTGTCAAAAAATTAATTCTGTTCAGATATTTGATGTCTCGCTTGAAGATGATTGTGGCAAGTGAGTATTGTTTATGAGCAGTCGTAAAATCAAGGAAATATCGAATTGCAGTGATATGCAGACAAATACGTCGTTTATCACAGCAATCAAATCCTGAATAATGATTAAGCCGCGCGATGTGAGAGAAATGAGGATAAAATTGATATTTCAATCCAATAAATCGTTTTAAGTCAAGATATAATATATGCGAAAAGCGACCAGAAACGTGGTGGACTTGTTATGATACAAAACTGAGAGCGAAAGTTTTTTTAAGTGCAAAGTGTTATTAGGAGTTTTCAGCGCGCCCACGTCTCAACCGAATATGACACAAGGTCGAAGGTTTTAAGCAATACCGAGGAAAAATTGCTCAAACTCCTTCGGTATTTCCCCTTTTGGTGACACCACAGGCGCCGGGTAATGACCGCAGCCCTCACCCAAAGGAGGGGTACTCCTCGGGGCTTAATATTATGTTGAAACTATTCCAGCCGAAGCCAAGAATATATGAATGCAAGGTATTATTACGGACTTTTCAGCATGCCCACATCGCTTCCGAATGTGACACAAGGTTTAAATTGGGTTTTACCTGCAATACCGTAGAAAAATTGCTCAAGCCCCGACGGCACTTGCCCTTTTGGGAACACCTGAGGCGCCAGGTGATTACCCCAGCCTCCACCTGAAGGAAATATATTTCCTGGGTGGATGGCCCCTGGAGCTTGAGTTAATATTAATTTCAAACTACCCCAACTGATGCCGGGGAATTATGAGTACAAGGAATTATTATGATGTTTGGTAAGTAATGACGTTTTAGTAGATAGGCTATACAAATAATTGTAAGGTAAATCTATTTGAGTATTAGCAAATTCAGAATGTCGAAACTATTCTCATGACTGTAGCGAAACCAGAAGGCAATTTTATTTTTCTTTATTTCAAGAAATCTGGGTTTCAAGAAATATTTGTTTTGTTTCAAGAAATGTGGGTTTCCTTACGAACAACGTTCGAAAGAATTCTTTGTGTTTTTTTTTAATTTTCTGCCACTTCTGAAATGTTTTAGTGATTAAAAAAATGAAAATTTATAGTTGGTAAATCTGGTGTGAATGGAGAATATGATCAATGATCTCATATTTTTCTTGGGTTTATTTTGAGGAGTATGCCCTTGCTTTATCATGCAAGAGAATAGCACCTTTTCTGCTTACCAAAGGAAATTTCGACATAATGCTCGATCAACCTGCTAGCCTTAAAGGATTAAAACGTTAGTCCGTGAATTTGGATGGTATTGTAATTGTGAGTTCGATCCCTGTGTCGGGAATAACAGACTCAGTGCAAACATGATTAGCAATAACTGAGCAGTACTGAAAAGGCACAAGACCATATGTCCCTAGATATAGAAAGCGGAATGAGAATGAATAAATGGTTCTGTTCGAAATTCTTTGAAAGTCACCTGGATCGACAGACACCTGTAGAAAGCCGTAGAACACAACGACCGAAACGTTATATTAACAACAAAGATAAGGAGATATGTCCGAATGTAAATAATATAAACAAAAAAAGATAATCCCGAATATGTTCGAACTGCTGAGGAAGTTCTAGACGAAATGGAAATCAGTTCACATTGTATGATCTTTAGTCAATTCTCTAGTGTCAGATATTTAAAGATTAGTCAGCGCCATTATCACTATCGATTTAGGAACTCGGTTAGTGTGCTTTATTCTACCCGCTATATTTACCTGACCTTGTAATATTACCCGATTACTAAATTTTTCGATCGCTGCAAAACACTTCCACGGGAAAATATTCTCAAATGAAAACCTGATTCAAATGTTCGTTGAAAATCTTTTTCATGTGATAACATGCAGATTTTAGTCATAAGACATCTGTAGATTTGGTTTAGTTTATTTTGTTTTATGACCTATCAACATCAATGAGTCATTTATTGCCGACAAGATTTTTAAGATAGGTTCGTATGAATAAAATATGTATTCTTTGTAAGAAGTCAGCTTGTAGATCAGGTTTTATTGACATATTTTTGTAAAGAGGATTTTTGTCGAGAGTTGAATGTATTGTCGATATTTTTTTTATCGTTTTCCAAAAATGCAATGCTGGTAATGGTAATATTTCTTTTTTAAAGGTATTAATGGTAATATTTCTTTTTAAAGATATTGCTGGTAATGTTTCTTTTTAAAGGTATTTCTGGTAATATTTCTTTTTAAAGCTATTGCTAGTAATATTTCTTTTTTAAATGTATTAAGGGTAATATTTCTTTTTAAAGATATTGCTGGTAATGTTTCTTTGTAAAGGTATTGCTGGTAATATTTCTTTTTAAATGTGTTGCTGGTAATATTTCTTTTTAAAAGGTATGGCTGGTAATATTTCTTTTTTAAAGTTATTGCTGGTAATATTTCTTTTTTAAAGTTATTAATGGTAATATTTCTTTTTAAAGATATTGCTGGTAATGTTTCTTTTTTCAAGGTATTGCTGGTAATATTTCTATTTTAAAGGTATTAATGGTAACATTTCTTTTTAAAGATATTACTGGTAATGTTTCTTTTTAAAGGTATTTCTGGTAATATTTCTTTTTAAAGCTATTGCTAGTAATATTTCTTTTTTTAAATGTATTAAGGGTAATATTTCTTTTTAAAGATATTGCTGGTAATGTTTCTTTGTAAAGGTATTGCTGGTAATATTTCTTTTTAAATGTGTTGCTGGTAATATTTCTTTTTAAAAGGTATGGCTGGTAATATTTCTTTTTTAAAGTTATTGCTGGTAATATTTCTTTTTTAAAGTTATTAATGGTAATATTTCTTTTTAAAGATATTGCTGGTAATGTTTCTTTGTAAAGGTATTGCTGGTAATATTGCTTCTTTTTTTCAAAAATTTATTGCGGTATTTACTATAAAAATCTATTTTCATACTTTTATAACGTTTTCATCCAAGGTTGGGTTTTAACTATTTGCCCATAGCTAGGACCTTAACAGGTGTTACCACCCCGGGTTATGGTGGATCTGGGAACACCAGCAATTATGAGGTGGTTCCATACTCCTACTCCTCAAAAACTCCTGATAAGAGGCCTTGCTGCTGAATGTAGTTTATCGTTATACTCAGGACGAGAAATCTGTTAAGTAGAAATGGAAACTTTGATTAGATAGAGGGGGACTGCCACAGACAGATATTGAAGTACATAAGTTACCTCCTTCAGTGTTATATAAACCGCGGAGTGGCCAGGGCCTAAATGTATTTTTGCATTTGTATCTCATTGGTACGAAAATAAAGTAATTCAGAATTACTACTACAATTGTCGTTGTGGTTATTTTACAACATCGAAGAGCTGTTTTTCATTTTTTCTTTAGTGACATATCAACTCCTCATGGGTTTTTTTAATCAGTTTCACTCCATGCAAGACAGAAAAGCCACTAAAACACAAGGGGGGGTGCTGGGTGTAAAAGAATTGGGAACAGGAACAGTAGTAATGAGAGGGAAGTGGAAAGAGTAAACAGGGGGACAAAAGAAAACGCTTGACATTGCATTTAATTTTTGCATATTAAATTTGGCTGGAAAGCATGGAATAGAAAAGGAGTTCCACAAGTGAGTAGTGCGAGAAAAGAAACTGTTAGCATAGAATTTATGACTACATCTAGCCAGCTCAACTGTACATTGATGAGATCTCGACGCCAGTCTAGTACTGCGCTTAAATTCAATCCAGGTCAGGACCGATAATGTTGCTGATTTTTCTTTGTATCTTATCAAAGTGTT